GTGGGTGAGGTGTCTGAGAGCGGCGGGGGAGTTGGGGGTGTGGGAGGTGGGTGAGGTGTTGATGAGAGGGGTGGGGTGAGTGGGGGGGGATTGGGTGAGGTGTCTGAGAGAGGGGTGGGTAGTGGGGGGAGTTTTTTTTTTTTTGGGGTGAGGTGCTTGAGAGGTGGGGGCGAGTGGTGGGGGGGAGTGGGTGAGGTGTCTGAGGAGAGGGGGGGAGTGGGGGGGGCGTGGGTGCGGTGTCTGAGAGAGGAGGGGATTGGGGGGGAGGAGTGGGTGAGGTTGTCTGGAGAGGGGGGGGAGTGGGGGGGGATTGGGTGAGGTTGATCTGAGAGGAGTTTTGGGTGGGGAGTGCGTTGGGTGGATTGTGGCGGTGCGGTTGTCTGACGCGAGGGGGGGAGTGGGTGGGAGGTGGGTGAGTTGTCTTTCTGAAAGAGGGAAGGGGGTAGTGGGGGGGAGGAGGGGGTGAGGTGATTGAGCGAGGAGGGGGGAGTGGGGGGGGAGTGGGTGAAGGGTCTGAGAGAGGGGGGGAGTTGGGGGGAGTGGGGTGGGTGAGGTGTCTGAGAGGAGGGGGGGGGGAGTGGGGGGGGGAGTGGGTGAGGGTTTGTTTCTGAGAGAGGGGGGGAGTGGGGGGGACGGGGTGGTGAGGTGTTCTGAGAGAGGAGGGGGAGTGGGGGGAGCGGAGTGGGTGAGGTGTCTGAGAGAGGAGGGGGAGTGGGGGGGGAGTGGGTGAGGGTGTCTGAGAGAGGGGGGGGGTGGGGGGGGGAACGTGGGTGACGGTGTCTGAGAGAGGGGGGGAGTGGGGGGGGAGTGGGTGAGAGGTGTTGAGAGAGGGGGGGGGGGGGTAGTGGGGGGGGGAGTGGGTGAGGTTGTCTGAGAGATGGGGGGACTGTGGGGGGAGGAGTGGGTGAGGTGTCTGAGAGAAGAGGGAGTGGAGTGGGGGGTGGGTTGAGGTGTCTGGGAGAGGGGGGAGTGGGGGGGAGTGGTGAGGTCTGTCTGAGAGAGGAGGGGGAGTGGGGGGGGGGGAGTGGGTGAGGTGTCTGAGAGAGGAGGGGAGTGGGGGGGGAGTGGGTGAGGTGTCTGAGAGTGGAGGGGGAGTGGGGGGGGGAGTGGGTGAGGTGTCTGAGAGAGGAGGGGGAGTGGGGGGGAGTGGGTGAGGTGTCTGAGAGGGGAGTGGGAGTGGGGGGGAGTGGGTGAGGTGTCTGAGAGAGGGGGGGGAGTGGGGGGGGAGTGGGTGAGGTTGTTCTGAGAGAGGGGTGGGAGTGGGGGGGGAGTGGGTGAGGTGTCTGAGAGGAGGGGGAGGTGGGGGGGAGTGGGTGAGGTGTCTGAGAGAGGGGGGAGGGGGGGGGAGTGGGGAGGTGTCTGAGAGAGGGGGGGAGTGGGGGGGGAGTGGGTGCGGTGTCTGAGAGCGGGGGGATGGGGGGGGAGTGGGTGAGGTGTCTGAGAGAGGGGGGAGTGGGGGGGGAGTGGGTGAGGTGTCTGAGAGAGGAGGGGAGTGGGGGGGGAGTGGGTGAGGTGTCTGAGATAGGGGGGAGTGGGGGGGAGTGGGTGGGGTCTGAGAGAGGAGGGGGCAGTGGGGGGGGAGTTAGGGTGAGGTGTCTGAGATAGGGGGGGGAGTGGGGCGGAGTGGGTGAGGTGTCTGAGAGAGGGGGGGGAGTGGGGGGGAGTGGGTGAGGTGTCTGAGAGTAGGGGGGGAGTGGGGGGGGAGTGGGTGAGGTGTCTGAGAGTGGGGGGGGGAGTGGGTGAGGTGTCTGAGAGAGGGGTGGGAGTGGGGGGGAGTGGGTGAGGTGTCTGAGAGAGGGGGGGAGTGGGGGGGAGTGGGTGAGGTGTCTGAGAGAGGGGGGGAGTGGGGGGGGGAGTGGGTGAGGTGTCTGAGAGTGGGGGGGGGAGTGGGTGAGGTTGTCTGAGAGAGGGGGGGAGTGGGGGGGAGTGGGTGAGGTGTCTGAGAGAGGGGGGGAGTGGGGGGGAGTGGGTGAGGTGTCTGAGAGGTGGGGGGGGGGGAGTGGGTGAGGTGTCTGAGAGAGGGGGGGAGTGGGGGGGAGTGGGTGAGGTGTCTGAGAGAGGGGGGGAGTGGGGGGGAGTGGGTGAGGTGTCTGAGAGAGGGGGGGAGTGGGGGGGGGAGTGGGTGAGGTGTCTGAGAGAGGGGGGGAGTGGGGGGGAGTGGGTGAGGTGTCTGAGAGAGGGGGGGAGTGGGGGGGGAGTGGGTGAGGTGTCTGAGAGAGGGGGGGAGTGGGGGGGAGTGGGTGAGGTGTCTGAGAGAGGGGGGGAGTGGGGGGGAGTGGGTGAGGTGTCTGAGAGGAGTGAGTGATGATGGGGTAAGTCGTCTGAAGAGGAAGTGGCGAAGGGATGAGTGGATGAGGAATCTGAGAGCGGAGCAAGTGTTGAGTGAGGAATCTGTAAGAGGGGTAAGTTGGTGAGTAGTCTGTAAAAGGCAAATGGTCAGTGGTTGTTGCGTCCATTTGAGGAGCTGGCGGTGAGCGAACTTGTCCCATCACCGCTACCGCTCCTGGCTGCACCGTTGCCACAAGTAGCCAAATAATCAGACGCTTGGTTCATTCTGTGGCTCTTTAAGAATTAAGATAATTTGTGCTCAAACGCAACCCACTATTTCTGCGTAGTTACACCATTTGTCCCATTACCCCGAGGCCAAGGCTGGGTTCCGGTAGAACGCCGCCACACAACCCCATGAACCCCATGAAGGGACCCGCGTGGCACGAGGCGTGGACGATGGTGCGGTGTTGTTTATTAAACAACACGAGCATCGAAGTTATGATAGATAATGAGTGAACGCGTTCTTTTAATTTATTGAGCAAGGGTATTGTTGTAAGAGCTTTGGAAAAGAGGTGACAATGGGAGGGAATTCAAAAGTGGACCACTGCGTGGGAAAAAGCAGAAATCAAAGTGTTGTGACCTGCAGTGTTGTGAGTGGTTGGGTGAGTGGGGGAGTGCATAAGTAGTTAAGTGAGTAGGTGGGTGGGTGAGTTTTTCTGTGACCTGCAATGTGATGGGTTAACGCAGTCTGGATGAGATGAAACCGTCAGGGAATCTATTTGTTTAGCCGGTGAGAATTCGGTGGAGTCAGCGAGTGAAGTTAACGGAACAGTAACCAAGTTTGTAGCTCTAGAAGAGTGCAAAGGAGGCGACTACCAGTGAGCGAGTGACTGCAGTGATGAATCAGTGCGTGTTGGGCCATCAATCAATGACTGCTGCTTCATTCTGTGAGGTTGGACCTGGTGCTGCACCCCAGATATGATCACAACCCATGCAGGAATCGTGTGACCCCCACGGGCTCCCTAAATCACTCTCACCGAACTGCACTGCTCCGCGTGCTCCTCCACGTGCTCCTCCGCGTGCCGCCACACTTCATCCCCGACTGCCGCGGGTCGATGACAGTGGCCCCCCACCCCGAGCTGGGGGAGGTGCCCCCCCGCCCGCTCTCAGCCCGTGATTACCGTCCTGTAATTCCTGTGCAGGTGAAATCTTGAGCCCATTATGCCCATGTTTCCATTAGCTGCGTGCGTGTGTGCGTGTACGATTTTGTTCGCAGCAAATAACTGGTTTCATCAGCTGTGCTTCCGAAAAAAATATTTTTGAGTTTTAAAATGAACTGCAGACCCCGCGGGTGGCTCTGCTCCCCCATGCCCCCCATTACCTGGTTGGGACAATTGCCTGTGTGGTGTGTGTGCGCATGTGTGTTTCTGCATGTGTGCCTGCCAGTCATCACAGACAATCAACCCATAATGCCTGAGTCTGTCCTGTGACCTTCTGCCAGCAGTGATAGTCTTCCACACTTGACACGACGGCCTTAAAGTACACCTAGCATGGCACAAGCACTGTAGTGACGTCACTACCGCTTAGTGGTGAATGGAGGCTGTTGTGCATGTGTTTGTCTTATGTTAGTGCATGCATGTACTTTCCCCAACAGTCTGTTGGCTGCTACAAAAGAAGGAAAGGATTTAACCTTTCTGGAAATATTACAGGAGGTGTCAAGATGTCCAAACATGAAATGGACACCTAATGCAAGGCATCAAATCTGCATTAACCACACATTCTTGTGGTAAAAATACGCAAACAAATATGCTTTGATAATGTATGTTTTGTCCTTGAAACTGAATGGTCTACACCAGCCTCCTTTATGGCTTTGTTTCACCGGTACTATAGACCAATGAACGGCAAAATGTGAAAAGAGCACAAGGACGATGCATTCATAGCTCGGGTTAAGCAGTTTTATCTTTGTGACCCCTTTTTGAGCGTGTGCGTGTGTGCTTGCGCGTGTGTGCATGCACGTGTCACGACTGTGCGTGTCACGACTGTGCGTGTGTGCTTGCGCGTGTGTGCTTGCGCGTGTCACAACTGTGCGTGTCACGACTGTGCGTGTGTGCTTGCGCGTGTCACGACTGCGCGTGTCACGGGTGGCGAAGTGAGGCTGCGTGTCGTTTTGCACGAGGGGTGGCGGCGGCCGCCCCCCAATGTGGAAGCGATTGAGCGAGTCACCCAGCCATCAGCCTCAACCGCACTTAGCCGCGCCAATCTGAACTGCGCCACACCGGGCGGATGTGGAGTGCTGGGCAGGCCAAAAGCCCCAATACGCCAAGTGGCCAGTAACAAGCTGCACTGTCAAAATTGCAATCGATAAGATTTATGAACATGTTTCTTTAATTGAGCGAGGTTATTAATGTAAGAGCTTGGGGAACAGACTATGACGATGGGAGGAGGGAATTCCACAGTGCAGCAGTGCGAGGGAAGGAGCAGATAGAGGCGACCTGCAGTGTGATGAGTGTGTTGTTGTAGTGTGGTTGTATTTGAACATAGTGTGGATGAGATGCAACAGTCTGGTTGTCCAAGTCCTCAAAATTGGTGGAGAAATCAACGAGTGAAGTTCACGGGAACGGTAACCATTATGGTGGTAGCGATAGAGGAGCTCGTGGCGGTGGGTGGGTGAATGAGTGGTTGGGTCGGTAGGTGAGCGAAAGCGTGATAACATTGGTGATGTTTGTGTACAGCCAGGAGCATTGCTGTCCTTAGCATCGGGGGAGTTGAGCGATCTGCATGGCGACCACGATGCGTCACGTGACACGTCTGGTCCGGCTCGTCACAGCAAGCAGGAGTGGGGCCTGGCGGTCTGCGCTCGAGCCTGCCTCGCCTAAGTGGCCTCCAGGGGCCATGTGCGGGTTTCCCGGGGTTGCAGAGCGATGGATGTCCACCAAGAAGAGCAAAGGTGGGGGTGATGGTGATGGCATGAAAGGGGTGGAGAGGGGGCAACGTGAGTTTGTGTGATACCATCATGTGGATTGTGTGTGCCTCCAGCAAAAAGTTACATCGGGTGGCAGTGGTGGAGCTAGGGGGAGTTGTTGAGGGAGCGTGTCAGTGTGTGTGGGTGTGTGGGGAGCGGTAGTGTCGTGGCTGTCATGCGATGCAATGAACCTTGCTACCCGAGTTCGATTTCCGCTCACGGCCAACACCAATGACGATGATCTAAATCGGTCCTGTGCTTCCCCTAGATCGACTCGGCCTCAAATGAGTAGCTGGTGCAGTGTGTCAACATTGGCAATGAGACAAAGTTGGCCAGGCGTGGTGCTGGCCACACCACCCCCTCGTGTACCTTTTTCGGCCTTCATAGGCGCTACTCGCTAATCGCACTTGCCCCAACAGTCTATTCATGCTATATTGGGGATCTTTGTCTTTGGGTGAGTGTGGTGAGCGAGTGAGTGAATGAGTGAGCGTATGCGTGTTGGTGAATGATTGAGTGAGCAAGCGTGTGTGTGCGTGCCCCTAGCAAAGGCTAAGTCGGGTGGTGGAGGTGGAGCGGCGAGGGTGAGCATGCCGCCCGAGCTGGTGGACAACGTGATCGACCTTGAAGGCGTGCGCGGGGAGATGGACGCCACCCTCGCCTCACTCCGTGAAGACCTCCTCAAGGGCGTGTCATTGCGCACCGCCCCAGGTGCCACACTCACCCTCCCACCCGCCTAATCACTCATAACAAACTCACCCATCCGCACGCTCACTCGTAACTCACCCGCTCACCCAGCCACTTACTGCGTATCTCCGTGTCTGCTTGTTCATGTCTTTGTGTCTGCCTGTCTCTGTGTCTGCGTGTCTCCGTGTCTCCGTGTCTGGCTTTAATTGGGAGGTAAATTAGACGCACATGTGCACAGTGCCCGTGTCTGCGCTGCCCGCGCCGCGCCACTTGGCACGCGTTTGCGTCGTTAATTAATGCTTAATTGCTGCGGTTATGCGGAGGGACATGGCTACGTGCGTATGTGTTTGGACGTGCGAGTGTGTGCGTGTGTCCGTTGTGAGTGTTCGTGTGCCCGCTGTGCGTGTGTGCGTGTGTCTGTGTTCACCAACAGCTGCCTGTCAAAGGCTATACGGAGAATCTTCGTCTTTGTTGCGTGTCGTATTGTACTGTGCGTGTGCTTGGATGTGCTGCGAGCATGGGAGCCTTGCATAGTGTGCTGCGCTGGTGTATTGGCGTGTCGCATGCGTGTGCAGCGTGTCTGCCTCGTGCGTGCGTGGCACCACCGCGGCCGCTGCGCTCCCCGTTGGCGCTGCGCTGCGGCTGCGCTGCCGCGCGGTGTCTGTTACCTCCCTCTGGCTTTCCTGTCGCGCGCTGAAATCTTAACCTCATTTCCTCACGAGGAAATTCATCACTTCCACACTCCCCCCCCACCCCCCCGAGGGTGGAGGTGGTGGTGGTGGCCTCTCTGCCTGGATGTGCGCTGCGTGCACACGTGTGTGTGTGTGGAATGGTGGCTCAGTGGTTGTCGCACTGCGCTACAAATCCAGTGAGCTGAGTTTGGCGTCGGTGGCGAGCGATGTTGGAACCAGTCCTAGTTTGAAGTAGTTTTAAATGAGTACCTGGCGCGGTGTGTAAACATTATCATTGGGGAGACAAAGGTGGCCAGGTGTGGTACTGGCCACCCAACCCCCTCAGAGGTGCACCGTGCTGGCCTTCAGAGGTGCTTGCTAATAACAGTTACCTCGACATTGTGTGCAGCCTCTGCAGGGGATCTTGATATGACCGATTTGTATGTGCGAGTGTGTGCGAGTGTGTGCGAGTGTGTGTGAGTATGTGCGATAGTGCAGCGGTTAATGCGCTGTGCTACGAATCCGACGACCCAGGTTCAGTTCCCGCTCACGGTCAACACCAGTTACGATTATCTGAACCGGTCCTGGGCCTCCCCTAGGTCGACTCGGCCTCAAATGAGTAGGTGCAGTGTGTAAACATTGTCACTGGGGAGACAAAGGCGGTCGGGCGTGGTGCTTGCCACCCACCCCCTTGTGCTGTCGGCCTTCATTGGTGCTCACTAACAGCACTTGCCCCAAACGTCTACTCAAGGCTATATGGGTGAGTGTGTTTAAGCATGTGAGTGTGTGTGAGTGAGCGTGTGTGAGTGAGCGAGCGTGCGTGCATGCGTGTGTGAGTGAGCGTGCGTGTGTGTGAGTGTTTGCTTGCGTGTGTGTGTGAGTGTGCCGAATCAAGGGCGGTAATCACAGCCCGGCACGCGAACGGATCGCTACACAGCCACCCGGCGCTCTCACTCCTCATCCTCCTCCTCCTCGCACGCAGCACGCTCCCCCTCATCACTCCACTTTATAGAAACCAAAAGTCCCCGCCCCCGTTGTGTGACACGGTAATTGTAGTGGAGGCCGTCGCTTTGTCTCCACAGCTCGGTTTTGCCGTCTGAGCCCAAGGCATTTCCACCGACTCAAGCTCCGAACGATCCTCTCTCCCTCCCTCTCTCCCGCGCTGACCCTTCCACCTCCTCCCGCTCGCGTACGCACGCTCGTGCCCGGACGAGCGCGCGTACGCTTGCTCTCGCTGGTGGGAGCGTGCGTACCCGCTCGCGTACACGATGATTATCAGAATTCATCATTTTTACTTGTGGTATTGGCGCCATCATCGTTCTTGTAGCGCCAAGCTCTCATCGCGACGGAAGGGGCTGCTGTGTTCCAGACACAGCCACAATCGATTCGCAGCAGGGGCCGGTGGTGTTGGCATGCGAGATCCCGGTTGGGTTGTGTGTACACATGGGGATGGCGTGCGCACACCAGGTGCAACCGTCAGTGCCCAGGCCACCACCGCTGAGGCCTCGGTTCGGATCCGGGTTTCAGCTGCAAGTTTGGCGATGCAGTTGATGCATACTCTCACATAGACTTGCACAGTGATCCGTATATTTACATAGAGGCCTGCAGAATCACAGAAAGACCCCGAGACTCACACCAACTGAGCCGTGATTAAACTGGGTACTCAAGTACAGTTGCAAGTTGATGGTCTCAGCCCGGTCGCCAATGATTGCACAAAAAAACCTATCATGTGACATTTGTTTTCCTTAAATTGGCTGAATTCCATCTTTTATTGTTTACATACCAGGTTGAGTGCCATTGCTGTCATTGGCAGGGCAGGAGAGAATTGTTGCCCCGTACTTAGATGTTTCTCTGTGATGTCCACATCCGCAGGCCGTTCCATAACACAGGGCGGTGGCACTGATCGGCGTGCGATGCGAGCAAAGCTCACGGTGGCCGTGCCCCGTATCACCTGATGCTCACTGGTGGTGGCGTGGTACAAAAATAGTACAGCCACAACTCGGCAGCGTCCCCACCCAGCAGCGTCCCCACCCAGCACCGTCCCCACCCTGCACCGTCCCCACCCAGCACCGTCCCCACCCTGCACCGTCCCCACCCTGCACCGTCCCCACCCTGCAGGGTCCCCACCTAGCAGGGTCCCCACCCAGCACCGTACTCACCCTGCACCGTCCCCACCCTGCACCGTCCTCACCCTGCACCGTCCCCACCCTGCACCGTCCCCACCCTGCACCGTCCCCACCCTGCAGGGTCCCCACCCAGCAGGGTCCCCACCCAGCACCGTCCCCACCCTGCACCGTCCCCACCCTGCAGGGTCCCCACCCTGCACCGTCCCCACCCTGCAGGGTCCCCACCCTGCACCGTCCCCACCCTGCACCGTCCCCGACCCTGCACCGTCCCCACCCTGCACCGTCCCCACCCTGCAGGGTCCCCACCCAGCAGGGTCCCCACCCAGCACCGTCCCCACCCTGCACCGTCCCCACCCTGCAGGGTCCCCACCCTGCACCGTCCCCACCCTGCACCGTCCCCACCCTGCACCGTCCCCACCCTGCAGGGTCCCCACCCAGCAGGGTCCCCACCCTGCACAGGCTGAAATGGGGGTATGGGGGGGGGGAGATATGGGGGTGGGGGATGGGGGTGGGCGCCAGTGTCTGGCCGCTGCTGCGGCCGCTGCTGCGTTGACGCGGAGCACCTGGGCTGGTGTGCGGTGCGGCGTTTATTTGTGTGAGCAGCCCCGGGGGCTCGTGGTGAGTGTTGGTGAGGGGTGATGGTGGGTGATGGTATGTGTGTGGTGAGCAGTGGCACACGGTGGTGAGTGAGGGTGGTGGGTGATGGTGTGAGATGGGAGATGGTGTATGATGATGTGTGTTTGGGTGATGGTGAGCGATGATGGTGATGATGATATGTGAGTGATAGTTAGGACTTAATTGCAGCTGGGTCTGTGTGGGTCAGTGACCCAGATAATAGTTCTGCATCCAGCACACCACATCCACTATATCTCCCCTCGCTATAACCGTGGCTACGAATAGTCACGTGCCACCCACTCCAGTCTACCAGCCACCCTGAACATATTCAGTGAGAAACTAAGCTCTGCGTGTAGTGGTGAGTGATCCTGTGCCCTCACCAGGCGCGCTGGACCACATTGCCGTGGTGACCGCAGAGGGCAGAGTTCCGCTCAAGCAGATCGGTCATGTGACTGTGCGCTCACCCAGCCTGCTCGTGGTCAACATGGCTGCCTGCCCACAGGTGTGTACATGAGG